CCTCAGTACAGCAAGTCCAGGGATTACAAATACAGCGGGGCCATGTTACTCAGCTGGGCAACCAGAGCCCAGAGGGGCTTGCATACCAGCGCTCCTATAGGTCTGAACTCAGAGGTACTCGGGCTGTCCAGTCCAGTTCCTGGAAGCGAGGAGGCGGTCACAAGGTGGGAGGTGCTTCTCTGGCTCAGAGCCAGTGTTCCTTGGTGACAACAACATATATCACACCAGGGGAGTCAAAGAGGCAGATAGGGGAATGAGACAGAAGTAGAGAGAAAGCTTGGAAACATGCGACTGGGAGAGAAGAGAGCAGTGCTCACACGGCTGCTGGTTTGGCAGACGGCAGAGAGCCAAGCTGAGGGGCTGGCTGTTGGAAAGGAGCTCTGCTTGGCCTCATGACAGCTAGGGGACAGACAGAAGCTGTTTAACCCCTCTGAAGCGCCGCTGCCACACCTAAAACACATGGATGATGCTTGTGCTGGCAGTATCTGTACTTAGCTTCAATATGAGCCATAAGATCTACCTCCCAACATACCTTTGCATCAGCCTTGTGGGCTCTGTGTTGAGCTGGAGGGTAAGTGTCAGAGTCAGCGCTTTTAGTCGGGGGTTAATCGATGTCCTCCCCTCAGCACTAGCCTCTCTCACAGAGCTGCTGTCACTCAGCAGATTTACACCTCCCTGGTGCGAGCAGCGCAGACACTGGTGTGGAGGACTGGTCAGCAACCTGAGAGGAGGGTCATCCCGGGTCAGGCCCAGTCACACTAGGTAGACGTTCCTTAGCAGCCAAAACTCGGAAGGGCTGCAACGTTCTCAGATTTCTGCTGAAAATGATCATGACTCCTGTATGTTCAGCTGTTTGCCCTCCTGGAAACTTTTGCTAAAGGACTCGAGCACCATTTTGTTTGTCTTTTGTTAAGCTTGAAGCACAAATATGACGGTGCTACTGTGTTCCAGCAGGCTTAAGAAAATCAGTGAAATAAGCCAACAGCCTGCACGTTTGTGGCTGAAGACACAAAAACCTTTGGTGTGAAACTATTCTTGAGCTGGAGCTGAATCAGCCTTTGGTCAGCCCATGCTACACTGGCTGGGGTCTGGCAGCACCACGGGGAAAGCATCTGGAGTAACAATGTCTGTTGTGAATCTGGTCCCAGATGTGGAGGAGATAAACCATCTTTCAAGTTTGTCCCATGAAAAAACTCAAGTGGCAAAGCAAGAGTGGCCTGCAAGAAGTGTTGAAGGAAGTCAAATAACGTAAGACTTTAATACAAGAAAAGGACAAAGCAATGGAACATCTTGAAAGAAAGATGGATGACTTGGAGCAGAAGGATGGACGATCTCCTGATATCAGGGATGGAGAAACGCTGAACCTATGCACAGGCCACCGCCTGCACAAACCCCAGGTTCTCCTTCACTTGTGTCATGTTCTGTGTCCCTGTGGTCCCCGGCCCCCTCCAGGTTCCCTCATGTGTCGCCTTGTCTGTGTCCCCCCTCAGCTGCCTCCTTGTGGTCCCCGGCCCCCTCCAGGTTCCCTCATGTGTCGCCTTGTCTGTGTCCCCCCTCAGGTGCCTCCTTGTGGTCCCCGGCCCCCTCCAGGTTCCCTCATGTGTCGCCTTGTCTGTGTCCCCCCTCAGGTGCCTCCTTGTGGTCCCCGGCCCCCTCCAGGTTCCCTCATGTGTCGCCTTGTCTGTGTCCCCCCTCAGGTGCCTCCTTGTGGTCCCCGGCCCCCTCCAGGTTCCCTCATGTGTCGCCTTGTCTGTGTCCCCCCTCAGGTGCCTCCTTGTGGTCCCCGGCCCCCTCCAGGTTCCCTCATGTGTCGCCTTGTCTGTGTCCCCCCTCAGCTGCCTCCTTGTGGTCCCCGGCCCCCTCCAGGTTCCCTCATGTGTCGCCTTGTCTGTGTCCCCCCTCAGGTGCCTCCTTGTGGTCCCCGGTCCCCTCCAGGTTCCCTCATGTGTCGCCTTGTCTGTGTCCCCCCTCAGGTGCCTCCTTGTGGTCCCCGGCCCCCTCCAGGTTCCCTCATGTGTCGCCTTGTCTGTGTCCCTCCTCAGGTGCCTCCTTGTGGTCCCCGGTCCCCTCCAGGTTCCCTCATGTGTCGCCTTGTCTGTGTCCCCCCTCAGGTGCCTCCTTGTGGTCCCCGGTCCCCTCCAGGTTCCCTCATGTGTCGCCTTGTCTGTGTCCCCCCTCAGGTGCCTCCTTGTGGTCCCCGGTCCCCTCCAGGTTCCCTCATGTGTCGCCTTGTCTGTGTCCCCCCTCAGGTGCCTCCTTGTGGTCCCCGGTCCCCTCCAGGTTCCCTTCTAGTCACTCCCCGTAGTTTTCTATAGGTTCAGGTTATCTTTAGTCTCCTTTGGCGTGTGTTTTCCTTCTCCACTTGTTTATGTCTCCCTCACTCCTCAGGTCTTTACTTATTTATGTTTTGGTTCTCCTGTGTCCGGAGTCTTTTAGGTTTATGTATGTGGTCTCATAGGTTATGGCGTATTCCCCTCCTAGTTTAACCTTCCCGTTTGGTTTATTGATTTCAGCAGGCTCTCCTCTGGTTCTCCCTCCCCACGCACCTGCTGCTCGTTTCCTACCCACCCAGCCCCGTGTAGAGAACCCTGTCTTGTCCCTGTCGGTGTGTGTCGGTGCATTGTCGTTGTCAGTGTTGTTCTGGTCCTCCTCGTGAAACTCTACGTTTTGCTCATCAAAGAGCTTTTTGTCTTCGTCAGTCGGGTTACTGACTTCAGGCTTGGCTTCCTGCCCTTCTTGGATGTTTGGATTTTTGGACGTTGACTCCTGATAAAAGGATTTTACGTTTTACTACGCTCCTGCCTTGTGTCGTTCTGGGTTTCTGCATCTTGGGTCCTGACCTCCTGGCTCAAACGTGACAACGTGAGCATCAGGTAATGACGTTTTTCATCAGCAATGAAATCCCAGTAAGACACCGTAGCGCGTCCATGTTTGGCCCAAGAATTCAGTAAAAAGCCAAACATCATCATCAGGTTTACCAGTAGAAAGTGCAAAATGGAGGTGCTGAGAAACGCAAAAGAAATAAAGGGCACAAGTGCACACACTCACTGGCCACTTTATTTGGCACACCTGTCCAAATGCTCGTTAACACAAATAACGGATGAGCCAATCACATGGTGGCAGCTCAGTGCATGTAGGCGTGTAGACATGGTGAAGAGGTTCTGCTGCTGTTCAAACCGAGCTTCAGAACGGGGAAGAAAGGTGATTAAGTGACTTTGAACGTGGCGTGGATGGTGGTGCCAGCCGGGCTGGTCCGAGTATTCCAGAAACTGCTGATCTTCGGGGATCGTCATCTCTAGGGTCTACAGAGAATGGTCCGGAAAAGGGAAGACAAGCAGCTCTGTGGGTGAAAGTGCCCTGTTGATGCCAGAGGTCAGAGGAGAAGGGCCAGACTGGTTGGAGCTGATAGAAGGCAACAGTACCTGGAATAACCACTCGATACAACCAAGGTGTGCAGAAGAGCATCTCTGAACACGCGGCACCTTGTATGTGGTTATAGTTTTTGTACATCTGTCTATATATTTCTTATACCATGCATTATATATATATATATATATATTATTTGAGCTCTATTTTGGGTTCCTGTGTTTTATTCACACACTCAGGCTCCATGGTCGAAGCTACTTCTGATAGCTCGGCGTCTGTGAAGTTGCAGTCAGGAGACCTGGTCCTTTAACGTGTTACACATGTCTTTTATATCGTTCCTTAATCCGGCCTAATTTCATGTATTGTGTTGACGTAATTATTATTATTACATAATTCAAAAGAGAGCAATCCGTATTGTAATCTGTTTTTTGTTCATTTGAGAGCATTAACATTTAGAGAGCTAGCTGCATTTAGAACGGCATAATTCATGTATGAAGTGAACAATCATGGTTTCACATCAGGGACAGTGTTTATGACCTTAGAGGCTATGCTGTGTTCAGGACAGCTAAAGCAAGAACAAATACAAAACAACGCTGTGTTTCTTTGGTTGGGGTTGGTGTACGGAATAACGCCGACCAGGAGCTAAAAGCCTGAACATCAAAACTAAAGTTCAGGAATCCATTTGAATCAAATGTTATTAAACATAGAAATCATGGGAGTGAAAAGAGCTAAAAACTATTTAATTAGATAAAAATGAGTGATGTGGGCCTTATTTCATCCTCCTGTGCTGGTGGTATCGGTGTGCTATCATGCTGCTTTACTGCTTCGAGGCGCTGGCGCTATAAGCTTCTGCTTCTGCCTGTTTGGGGACCGTCCTAGTTTGTTTGTTTGTTCTAGAACTAAAGGTTGTGTTTGTGTCTGAAATGAAATAAACAGAAACCGTGTTGGCACTTAGTGGTGTTAGCTACTGCTACGATGTGATTGTCAGTGGGGCGCTAACGGTGACGTCATACACAGAAACGACCATTTAGCTGTAAACAAAAAAATGTTCTGAACCAAATCTAAACATTCAGGTGAAACTCCAAAATTAGGATAGCTAACAAAAGTTCATCAATGGCAGTCTTTCACTTTCAAATGTGAAACCATGTTTACGTTTATTTATTTAGCAGACGCTTTTACCCAAAGCGACGTACAGTTTATAACCTGTAGGGCGTGTTGTGATGTGTGGGGGAAACCGGAGTACGTGGAGGAAACCCACGCATGCATGGGGAGAACACGCAACTCCACGCAGAAAGGCCACAGCCGAGTTTCGAACCTGCAACCTTTGTGCTGCGAGGCGACAGTGCTAACCACTGCGCCACCATGCAGCAGAAACTAGCCTATGAGACGGACTCATTCCATGCAAATCCAGATGCTTCAGTCTCTATTTGTTATGATTCAGGCTTACAGCTGATGAATCCAGAACACCTGCAGAGGGTTCCTGAGCCTTTAGGTGGTCTCTCGGTCTGAGCTGAATCACGGGCATGAATGGTCTTTTGCTCCAGGTGCTCATGTTTCCAGTCTTACCTGTAGAAGTGCTGTTTGTGATGAGTTCACCGTTGATAAGCATGCTGTCTGCCTGGTGGTGTCTGCAG